TGATGAAACCCTAAGAGATTTTAGTGTCTGTATATATAAATATATTCCTTGTTGTGAACACACCCTTTGTCAGTAACTTGGTTTTTTTCAATACAAGGAAATGGTAAAAATTTTACATTATAATATTCTTCAGAATATGTAAACAATACCAAACAAATTTGCGCAGAAATACGAAAATGTGTCTTGAACAAATCGATTTTTCAATATTCTTCCTTTAATACATTTTCGCTTAATTTTAAACAAAATACCTTAAAAACTTTAAAATTCACATAGATATCTTTTTTTTTTTTTATTAAAATAAGAATAAAGAAAATTTATTTTTGCACCGCCCTGTTTGAAAACTTTGAACTCTGTGGAAAACATTTTCATAGCTCTAAAACAAAAACAAATTACCCATATTTGACTAGCATGCGATAAAAATGTAATCGTTATATTTCTATATGGCAGAATGTGCTACTTTTACTTACATACGTGTACACACACATACATACATATGAGAATCTATTGTAAAACGTTATAATACCGAATGAAATCCATAAGTAAGTGTGTTTTGAATTTGATATTTACTTGTTTTAAAATTTTTCTTTATGCTCTTATTCTCTGTTTGAAAATTTATTAATTTTTTGTTTTATCTGATAAGTCCATCAAATTCAATTTCCAATTCAATATTATTTACGCCAACGACGTTTTAGAGTTGTTACTTAACCAAAATTGATGTATCTTTAATATAAAATAAGTTATATATTTGATATGTTCCTCTATATCGTCAAAAAGTACACTAGTATATGATATACTCGGACCCAACTCATTATTAACTAGTACTATAAAACCTATCGACAATTACCAAAAAGGAAGCCATACGCATATGCACACATACCTTGAAAGCTACAATGCAATACGTATGAAAAGAAATCACTCGACTTTGGCAAAATATCTTCAGGTAATACACAGCTATGATCGTCCTTCTTTTGGCATTACGTCTACGTTCACAATGAGAGTCTATTACTTTAAATTCTTGAATTCAATTAAATTTTTTAGAACAATTTGAGATTTATTATTAAACAAGTATAGGATATACAATAGCTATCATGCAAACTTAATGATCAAAAACAATTTCTTGAATGGAAACTTTTTTTATTTTGTATTTACTTCGCAATTTTTCTTTTATTATTCGCTTGCGAAACGTCGAGTTTAAGTGTTGATAATATGTTTAATAGTATATACATATGTATACACAAATAAATGTTTGTGCTTATACAAAATTAAGCATTATAATTATTGTTTTTAAATCGTACATGCATTTACACTAACATTTAATACAAATACAGCTGCAGATGTTTAAGCCATCCAATGAGTACATGTCAATCCCGAATTAATTGTGAAATAACTGCAATTTAATTGCATTATAATTACAGGCGCAATGTGGCGAATGCGCTACAAAAGCAGGTTCAATCCAACACAAGTAATTGCTTTTTGCAAGTGTCTGTGTGGATGCTGTTGTTTGTGTTTGTGTGTCAACAGTTGTCATTGCTGTTGTAGGAACACAGCTTTTGTGGTTTGTCCATGCTGCAGCGTCTATACATACATATGTACATACACAGCCACATTTCGTACCCGCGCCGCATTTGCTTATTCTCTTACAACTCGTAAACTCGCTCATTATCAGTTTGCAATTAATATTGATAGCAATAATAACTGAAATCGAATTATAAACGAATAATTTCATTTCATATTAAAATGCAGCTATGCCGGTCTACGCCTTCTATAGCTTGTTGTTTATATGTGTGAGTATTTAGCGTATAATGCCCGTTCATTTCATATGTCTAAAGCATTGTTGGCGCGAACACTCCCCTCCTTTTCAAAGAAATTAATGAAGTTTGCAGAAATTTCGATCAATTTACTCAATCGTTTGTAATCAGAGAGATAATTGCGGTCACTTTTAAAATATAGCACACCTATTTGTAAATTTTCGTGAATGTGTTAGTGTCATAAATAAATTTTTTTAGTAATATTTTAACTTTAAAGCTTTAATATTCCCATGGAAAGTTTTGTAATTAATCGAAACATGGCAATGATCTCCGCTGCAACGACAGCTTCGTAGACAAAAATTAACAAATGACTTTTTGGATTACCCTAGACTTGAAGATCTAGGAACATTCCTCCATGATGTTAGTAAATATATTTTTCCCAGAGAAGATATATGGCACTTGGCACATCTTTGCCAATAAAGAGCCAGTAACAATCGGTATCGTTTTAAAAAAACTAAAATTGAATTCGCTTTTTGGGTTGAAAATTGACTATAAATCAATGCGGGAAATCAGAGTTTCATTTTTTCTTTTCGAAAAATATTTTGTTCGTCCGATCGTGGTAAATATACAAATTGTTATAATATTATATCAAAACTACAACACCGTAATTCATACATTTATTACAATCATCTAGAGGATTAAACCCCCCAAAAATGTCTCAACTTGCAGAGATTTTGATAATTTTGATAACTTTTTTATGATACAAAAACCATTTTTGGAATAAAAATCCAGCCGCTTTCTCTTGTCGTTTCTGTTAAAGTTTTATAAGAACTCTGAATTGAATGTTGTGCTAGGTATCAACTTTAAATTATATTCGTCTTAAATTTTGTATATTTTTATTATGTGTTCTCGTTCCACTAAGAGGCTATAACAAACATGAATTTCTCTACAGTTTCGAAATTTTTATTTCATTTGAAATAATAAAAACCGTCCAAAAACATGTGATAAATTTAACTGTACTGTGGATTTACCTTTGTGATACAACTTTCTAATACACAAAATAAATTTGCAGAGGCATAACTGTCAAGCCTTGACAACCAGCTGTCAAAGTAAAGACATATGTCTGACAGTTATGTTATGGAACATTATTATATTAAGCACTTCAATTGCAAAAGCAAACTCAACGACAGCGCACCACAGAACCAAAATACTCTCTCATGAACTCGCAACAATTCTGCAGGATCATTTCATCAATGGTGGACGTATTGAATAAATGGAAAAATCATAAATTCAATTCCGGTGATGTTGTGCTTAATCCTGCAAACGCAACAGGCGGGATACACTTGAAGCGAAATAAATTAAATTGAAACAAATGTGCGACACGTCAATCGGCCGTAAATATGATTGTTGCACGATGACGGAAGTCCGGTGTGTGAATGCGTTTCAATTGTTTTTCCATTGTTCAGGTGGTTGCTGTTGTTGTTGCTCTGCTTGACACTTTATTCTCATTTGCAAATGGGCTGGCGCATTAATATTTTTAATTAATTAATTAATTTAACAATGCGGGTGGGTGTGTGCATGTGTGCTCTGCCGACAATGTTCAGGCCTAATGTGCAATTATTGCAACATTAAGTATGTATGTATACATATTTAAATATGTATATAGTAATTGTTACACAGGCGTAGTATGTATGACGTCCCTATCATAAATAAAAGCAGCCACAGTTATTGAAACTAAAGCTACTGACTGCGGCCATCACAAGCTCTGTTTTATCGGGAAAAGGCAGAAATCTCTATACAAGCCTATATTACCAGTAAAATTTTAAATGTATGCGTTTTAAATCTTTCGCAGAAGTTAACACTATTAGGTCAGTATTGGAATATTTTGAATACTATATTTTTTTGACAATCGTCTCGAAATTTTATTCTTTGAGGCTTTACAGACTATTATTTGCCTCCTGCCTCTTATGCAATCCTGCGCAGCTATGGATCAGATTTTAAAATTACTGTAAATCAACAAATCTTCGACTTTCAAACAAATTCAGCAACTCTTGGGCTTCACAAGATAAAATACGGAATGCAATTTTTTAGAGTTAGAGTAGAGTTCTCTACATGAAGAAGTGTTGTGTGAGGAGTGATGTTCGTCTGATCTATATTCTCAACATTCTAAAAAAAAAATTCTAATTTTTAGAATATTTGGCTTTGGCTCAAACAACTAGTTGATTTCAAGTTTTGATCTCATCAAAGATCATCCACCCATATATGGTTCATTGTACCTCAGAAATGAAGGTAAGCTTATCTTTATCAAAACGCTTACTTTGCAAATGCTAACTACGAAGCTTTCCTCTTGATTGTCGCGCATTTGCGAATGCAAAGCTAAAATACTTTTGATCCTAAACCTGCGATCCTCTTTTGAAATCAAGTATGTAACCTAACATATTTTAGTTATTACACCCGCAAACATATTGCTGCAGTGCATGTAATACAATTAATTATAATTCCTACAGTTTCAATCGGCACAATATTTTAATTTTGCTGCAACTATTTCGTAAGTTCCTGCGAAGTTCTTTTAAATCTGTGCTTGTTTGTTGTTGTAAACGTCTCAGTTGTTAAGCTACAATTGATGCAAGATTGGGTCATAACTTAATACGGTGTTAAAGAGATAGCTATAAGGCATGCCATAAGTCCATATACAAGGTGATCGGCCTAGAAATTCTACTTCATTTCTGAAATCTTTCCGTAAAGTTACGAAAATTTTGGGTAATTTTTTAATAATAATATAATAATATAATATCCATAATTGTGGGTTATACCAACTGTGTAACCAATGTCCACCTATAGTGGAAACAAAACTGCAAACAATAGAGAAGAAAACCGAAGAAAATAATAACAAATGGAGGTATTTTTTGAAGAAAACTTGATGCGATTACTTTCTTGGAAGGTTTTATCTTACAAATGTGAATTTGTACAAGCCAATCACCATATACCACATACCTACACAACTGCTCTTCCACTCTAATTTGGAAGCCATCTACTGTAGCGACGCAAATATATAACATACCATCTAATCCAAAATGTCTCTATAAGCATAAATATTGAATTAGAGATCACTCAAGCCGGATATATAATTAAATTTATAACTGTTCTGCTTTTGAAATGAAGTAACTAATATGAGGACGTAGGCCAGTAACATTTATAGACCAAATAAAACTCAGTTAAATTTATGACAGCAAATAGTATTAATTGTTCGATCTTAGTTCAATAAGCAACATATTTTTTAATACTTTCAAATAGTTAGGCGACGAAATTTTTGGGGTTCGGAAAACCGTATAAGCACAACATGAAGGTTTACGGCTATGCTATTATGCCTAAGAACGCAGGTAGAAATAGCTTAGCCGTAAAGACCTTAGTGTTGTAATCTCGTAACCGACCTATAGATAATACTTGGTACAAAACCAAAACAAAAACACAATGCACCTTGCGCGGCCATTTTGAATTCATAATTTTACCTGCATACAAGTGTATAAGTTCAGAACGAATTCTAATGTCCCAACCAGAGCATCTCGAGTTTTGATCGGAAACACAGCTATACCTGCTAACCAACTATTACGCGCTTTTTTCCACTACGCATATATGTATCTTATAACAATGGACCAAACTACATTCGACAATGAGCTGCGTGAAGCTTTTGAAAAAGTTCGCATGCTTAAGGAAGCAAAAAACCGAGAAGAATTTTGTAAAGTGGTGGACGCTATATATTGCAAACGGCACGAGGCTTTCTTGCTAACAGAGTGCTCGTCCGAAGGAATTCTAGATGCACTGATTTCGACAGTTATAGAAAAGAAACTAACATTACTCAAGAATATGGGGATGTTAACGAGTGAAGAACTCAAGCAAATCGAAACAGACGTGGCAGAAACAAAAAAGCGTAAAGCCGCACCGCATGATTATAGTAGCTTTGATGGTTATTGTGATCTGGTGCTTGCAGCACTATCAGATAAATCGCCCATTATCTATGTAGAAACAGATTTGTCTCGTCGCTGCGATGATACACATGCTGAGGATCAACTAGATGACGATGAAAATGATATGCTTATAATTGATGAATATATTCTGGAGGAACCTCATGGAGATGATGATGATGTGAATAGCAGCGCTGGTAGTGACCAGTTAGTGCCAACGGAGTTTTCGGAGTCAGAAAGCGTGAACACTGATACAATTGAAACTGTAAGAACATTCGGTTCACCCGAATCAGTTGCGGAGCTACAAGAGCTGGATGAAAGCTTCGAGTTTATTGTAATTGGTCCGAATGGCACACAGGTCTTAAAATCAGAGTTCGACAAAATACCTTGGGCTTCCGTGAGCATCAGTACAAGAAGCCTACTAAGCATACTATTCAGTGAAGATATCTTGGCAACGCACACACTAAGCGGCAAACCATCTCCAGCTTTTCTTGACCGCCAGCGACCGCTCAAAGGACAACTTGACAGCAACAAGGTAAATGATTTGATACATTGTGTGATGCAGAAGATGGGCTGCATGGAGCGCGACATACGCACTGTGATCACCACGAAATGCGCGGACATCTCCAAGAAATATCGGAAAAGGAGTATTAAAATTAGCTATATTGACTTAACGACGGATAAGTTTATTTAGAATTAAGTATAAACTACGATATATCGAATATAAATATATATAAACTTTTATTTATGTAAATGAAAAAACTAAAAACTGAAGCGTCTCATTTCAAATTTATTTAAGCTCTGCCATTGACCGCGGCAGCCTTTTTGTGTTGCTGAATTTGATGGCATAAAGAGTTCAGCAAAATAAACATTTGATGATCAAGTTGAGAGCATTCTTATTTCTCACGGTTGTAATGTTGTTTTTCTGCGGTACTTCAACAGGCAAGTCTTCTTTCGATGAAAAACAACTTTTCAAATGAAATTAATATTGTTTTCAAGTTTGAAATAGAACGTGGCACTCGATTAGGTACCAAAGATTGATATCGATATGACGTAAATTATCACAAATTCATATTTTGAAGGTCAAAGAAGAACGATATTTCTTTTTTTTATTTTATGTACAAACTTAACCAAAAATGTGTGTATAACGTTCGGCTACAATGATCCACAGTCACTGTCGGCAGGTTAAGCAATAGCCGCAACATAGCATACAAATTGGAATTTTAACTTTCTTGAGCGAAGTTGAGGATAATGTGTAAATATTAATATTTTCCAGTCCTCCAAACAGTCGGAATAGTTTTTTGCAGGTAAAGCCCTCAAGACCTTCTTCTACTCGGTTTTTATGTTATCTCATAAGCGCGTCCACGTTTTTAAAAGTGATTTTAGTAGATGATAAACACAAGCTGTTTCGAAAAATCATACAAATTATAAAAAAAAAAATCGGAGAAAATTTAATGGTTTTGAGAATAATTTAATAATAGTATACGTTTAAATGTATATTAACGACATGTCATGAAATGGAAATTCTTTGAGAAAAAATTTACAAAAATACACATTTTAAAAGTTTAAATTTTTATTACCTTTTTTCAATAATTTGCGCAAATTTTATACGCTGACTTTAGATTTTCATATTTAATCCGATTTCATTTTAACACACTTACTTATGCATAGTATATTTTAATAGTATACTTGATTTATAATTTTTCTCTAAGATTCTAGAATGAATGTATGTGTATGTGTGCGCTGTGTGTAATTCTATTAGCAAATATATTATTTTAAGAATTTATTGAAATATTTTTAACTCAACTCTACCAATTATACCCATACTAAACTGACATATGTAACACTTACAGGCAAAACAGGTACCAACACACACACACACATAACGCAATTTTGTAGTCAACCAACTACAACAACAATAAGTTAACAAAAAACTATATACTTTAAGAACATAAATATTTCAATTCCAATAATTATGCATATTTTATTAGCATTGATCTTCTTCGTTGTATTGCTTTGCCTGGCAGTAACTGAACTCTTTTCCAGTATTTAATTCCATTGCTTTTTGTTTAACATTAGTTATTGCAACAACGACCACACGATTTTCTGCATCTGAGCATTTTTTACATTTATTTATGCGCACACATTAAAACATCGTTGTTGTTATTTTACTTTTAAGTTATTGCATTTTAGCGCACTTTTCCGTAAATATGTAGATTTATGTTTGTGCATAAATATTAAAAAAAAAAAATTTTTTAATTATTTATTCACATACGCATTTTTCCACCTTCAACAGAAACATGTTAACCGTTTAAATTTACATTATTGAACCGAATGCAAAAACTGCCAAAGAATGCGATAATTCTTAATTTATTCCCCAACCAAATAGATCTATGGTAGATGGCAAAAAAATTGTTGATTTTATTTACCAAAAGCAGTTTCGTAAACACGGCATAAAATTTACAAAATGAAATAAATTGCAATTTGCGGTTTTGCGTGTAATTATTTTGAAAGCAAAAACAAAATGCAAAATATGCTAATATAAACGCTTTTTTGGGTGAGATAAAAAAGGTTTTACATAAAATAATTATGAAATACAAGTAATTTAGCTTCACATAATATTGCAGATATGTTAAAAAATGTTATATAATAATGAAAATAATAATAGTAATGTGCATTAACTAATTTTGATTAGCTTAAATAGCAAAACGATACAAAACATTTGACAGCTGTAAATGTAGCTTTAGGTGTCTAAAATTGATTTGAAATTTAAAATAATTTTCCTGTTCTACACGCATACATACACAAGCTCACCTGGTAATTTTTGGTGAAAAACTAAGCTCTTCAAGCAAAATGGTGACATAACACAGATACCAGATCATAACTATTCAAATTATTATAAGCAGAAACAGTTACTTCTCCTTCCAAACATATTTTTGGATAACAAATTCGATTCATTTTTATCGAGAACTTAATTTTTTCTCTCTTTTTTCTGCAATTTTAGATACGAAAGTTTTACGCTCGGCTGTAACAGAAACTTTAATACCATGAAATATAAAGAATTTCGGAAGGGTTAGAAATAGTTCTTCGAGGTGTATAAAAACAATTGGAAAGCCTTTGAAACCAATATTCGTCTTTTAGCACAATTTTTTAGCAATTACATTCGTTTACACTATTTTGGAAATAAGTTTTGCATGATGTGCAAACATTGTTCCGGAGTAAGTGTGTCCGTTATGAAATGGCAAACCAAATCGAGTAAAAAAAGCAAGAGTTGCCAAAAAGATCAACTTCGAAGAAAGTATTACCTCACTGAAAAATAGTTCTAAAATAAACACCCATACAAAGCAAATCAAAAAGTTGAAATTGCATAGCGAAAAAGTACCACTGTCTGTCCTCAAGCGTTAGAACTACGCAGAGAACAATGACGTTTTTTTAAGTAATTCTAAAATGTCAACATTTTTAATTTCCGTGTCTAATTCTTTCCAAAACTTGTGCCAGACTTCGAATAGATAAGTCCCAGTTTTTAGTTGCAAGGGTTTGCTATGTGGCATAACTAACACATAATACTTAATTTTGGGCTAAAGAAAGCGAAAACATTTACACAAAATAATTATGTTTTTATAATTTTTTTTTTATGATTTTTTATAATATAATTTTTATTTTAAATAATCGAAATTTTAAAGAAATTTTTATTTAAAGTGTATGGAAACATTTTAGTTCCAATTAATTAGAATAGAAAAATACTTTTAAAAATCATTATATTTAGCATAGCTTTCCCCAAAATTCACGATAAATTCACAAACATCTTGCAGATGCATTTCACAATCCATAATTTTTGTTTTCTGTTTGCATGCGACACCATCACACATAAATTTGAGGATACACTTGTCGCTGAACTTTATAATTAATCAATTTTTAATTTTCTTACATTTCAACAATATTTTGTTCAAAAACCAAAAAAATAAGGTAATCGCCGCACTGCCTCGGTACGCTCGGTTGGCTATAGCGACCTCTTCGTGCTGAGCAAAAAGGATATGTGGGATGTGTTGAAGGAATATCCGGCGGCGCGTGTGCGACTCGAGTCGATAGCGGTGAAGCGTTTGGAGAAATACAAAAAAGCGCCGTTAGAGAAAGGTGTGTATAAAAATAAAGATGATAAGAATATCTAAAACAACAAAGTGATGCCGTTTGCCCCGTCTAAACCGAACACCATTTGAAAATATTTGTGCACGAATTACATTATAATCAAATCAACTCTTTATATATATCTATTCGTACTAAAATTAACATTTGTAATTGCTAGTTGTTTCTTTATTTGTTGAAAACTTTATTTTCCCTAAAATTTATTTCACATAATTAGCATTAAGCCAAAGTTAATTGCCCACTAGTTGTGATAATTATATAATTATTTGTTGATTTCACATGTTTTATGAACACACCAAATGCTTCCTACCCAAAAAAATTGATTCGAATTTCATTATTGTATATATTGCATTTGACAATATAGTAAAATACTTTAATGTAGTTGCCATGGGACGCTGCCAATCGACGCCCGGTTTGGTGGAGAGTTGTGGTCGTACAACATTGGAGGATATGTGGCTGCCACCGCCGTCAGCATTGTCTTTCGCGCAGCAACAACAAATACAACAGCAAAGTGTATCTTATAGGTGAGTGGCTACAACCGGATAGACCGAAATATTTTTTTTTTTTTTTTTAAATTTCATGAATTTCCTGCCTACAAATGCGGTCGTTTACGACGAATTCACGTATTTGTTGACGCAAACATCTAAAAACAGCACTGTAGCGTTTTTTATAGACCGCTTGACCCTGTGGCATGAATTTATGGTAAACCACACGATGGGACATCACATTGATTTTTGGGCGACTTTGACGTGTTTTTTTCGTTTTCTGCATATTTTTGGAACGCTATTCGCTCGACGTCATATTCGTAAACCCAAGTCTCGTTACCAGTAATAATGTGTTTGATGAATGTAGGGTTCTCAGCTACGTTGTCAAGAGACTCCTTTACGCGACGTCGTATTTGCAAAATATTCAGGTTTTTGGTACGCATTGCCTTACTTCATACACAAAACATCAACCAAAGTGTGTTGAGTCGGTCTATACGAGATGTTGAGATTGTTGAGATCCTCAGCTATCTCTCTGATGCCAATACGACGATTTTGAAGCACTGTTTCTTTAATTTTTTTTAATGTAATTGTTATTGACAGAGGTGGATGGACGACTAACATGAGACAAGTTTTTGATGACTTCACGAAGTTTTATTTGAAATTGTGTCCAGCCAGTCCTTGAGATTGCTCTAGTTATTTTCTAAAGCCTGTCTCAAGCTTGAGCTTTACATACAACTTCTTAAAGTCTATAATCTACTTCGAAGATAAACTTTATAACAGGCAAAAATTTCAATAAGCCTCACTTGGCTAAGCAAAAATTAAAAGAATAAAATTTTGAATCAATTTTAATATTGCTAAACTATATATACTATATATGTATATTAATATATGTTTTTCCAAACATATTTTTATAACGCAGTCGTGCTCCCAGTCCCCGCTCAACAATCACTTATACGGAACGCATCACACGCGCTACCGACTCGCCCGGCTCGGTCAGTCCTAGTGTACATAGTTCGGATGATCGGCCGCGCAGTCGGGCGACGTCGCATCACTCAACACGACCACAATCACAGCCAAGTCGAACAGGTATGTCCGGCGGTTAAGAATTAATTATTATTATTTTAATTAATTATTAAAATACAAAATGAATATACTTTTGCTATTAATAAATTCCAACTTCTTGCTCTATTATTTATACTGTCCTTGCCGCACTTGTTCGCCAGGACACATCTGCGATTCCAGTTCGCATTTAGAATGCTATGGTGGCGGTCTGTCTGCCGCTAGCGGTGGCATCGGTGGTGGCGGCACTACGCCACTACTCGGTTCACATGAAGCCTTAGAAGATGAAATCAAACGTTTGCGCGAGCGTCTACACACTGTGGAGTCGGAGAATCAAGCTCTAAATACGAAACTATCACAACAACAATGGGATTTAGAGAATCGACTGGCCGAAATTGAGATGCAAATATGTGGTGTGTCGTCGACATCAAGTCTAGATCCGGAGAATGAGACCGAGGAAATGGAACGCAATCGTGAGAGTATCATATAACACGGGAGCGAGCTGCCCCATCAGCCGATCGGTATGATGTACATATCATGTTTAACATGACTCGCATTGTTGTTGTTGTCGTTAAATGTTAAAATTGTCGTTGACATTATCGTTGTACACAAACATTCTAACAACTACTCGCACACACAACTACAAGCTCAACTGTGTCACCCAATGTGGATGCAAGCAGCAACGATTCAAAACACAATATCACCCACACCCTTGAACGCTCATGGTCCAGGAAATGTTAAACTAAAAATAGAAACTCTTTCATTTATGTATACGTGTTTGTTGCGGTACATCGCATGTCTATCTGTCACTCAATTTTGTTTTGGTATATCGTAAATTGGCTGACCGAGAATGCATACTCACACACACACACCCATACACACTTGCCACAACGTGCACAATTATATCCACACATTCGTATTGCCACCACCACGTATATATCTATATACATACATATATATGTACATGTGTATCAGCAAGTCAATGTTTTATTCTACTAAATTCGTTTCATTACATTGTTATGGGAAAATCAACAAACAACAACAAGAATTCGGCAACATTTTCAATTTCCGCTTGCAACAATGTTTCCATTTCTGATTGCATTGCCGCCTCTGTCATTCGCATCAGCAATGTCATCATCATACTCGTCATCACCATCACTATCATCATCAACGCTATCAGTGTCACTGTTTGTCAAGCATCAACGATCATCTGCGTGTTTATTCAAAATTTGAATGGTTCCTAACAACAAACTAAAATACATAAGTGTTTCAACAATTTTGCAATTTTACTAGATGTGAAAATTCTGTAATTATTTTTGCTTTCATAAATATCAGAGACTGTAGTGGAAAAATCGGAATTTGTAATGGTTTAAGTAGTATAAAAAATGTCAAGAGCAAACAATATTTCCCAAGTTCTTCAAACAAAATTGTATATACAACAGCGTCGTAGCAATTAAAGCCATTATCTTATAAACTAACTTCGAAAAAACGTTTGGTCATGTTCTTATGGGGTTATAACTATATTCGTGCGCTTTTTTTATCAAATTTTAAACGTCCATTCTAGAAAAGTATGTACAATAATATTGTCCATCTGAAGCTCGAACCTTTTCTAAACTTTGCTGCAATCTGTGGATTTCATTCCAAAAGAACTGCGCCAAGAATGAATCGAGCTAATTTGTGATACCCTGTTCTGATCTGAACTTTATTCCAGTGCGGGAGTTCTGCACCAAAAGCATCAAATGGTAGTCAGAAGGGGCAAGGTCTGACTATTAGGCGGGTGTGGCAAAACTTCCGTGCCGTTATTTTCCAAATGGCTTTTAACCGGTCTTGCCATACACGGCCGAGCGTTGTCAGGATGGAAAATTATCGCTTCGTGTCTAGTCACAAATATCGTGCGATTTTTGACAACTGCTTGCTTCAATTTGATGAGTTATTGTCGGTGGCGATCCTCAGTAATAGTTTTACATGGTTTTAGAAGCACATAATACAGTACGATGTAATGATCCCACCAAATATAGAGCATTACCTTGTCGTGGTGAATATCCGGCTTTGTCGTTGATTTGACTGGATAGCCAGACTTCACATATGGTTTTTTTGCTTTTAGAGCTGTCGTGATATATCCATTTTTTATCGCCAGTCCCAATCCGATGCAAAAGCGACTTCTATTTGGTAACAATCTCCATCAAATAATGCTTCCAGTCCCTCACCTTCAAACTTTTTTCGCCGCGCAGGTAGTACTTCGTCTTTCAAGCCAAAATCACCACTTTTAAATCGTGTAAAGCATTTCGCTCAGCTAGAGCATGTTCACCATAAACTTCTACCAAAACACGATACCTCTCGGCTTCGGTTTTCTTCATATTAAAGTAATGAAGGAGAACTCTCCACATTTTCACGTGTAAAAACCCATGAACTGATTTTCCGTCTTTGAATTCCTGCAGGAGCGCAGAAAAAGATATCCATTTTTTGAGTAGTCTTTACTGGAGGCGAAAAGTGGGTGACTTACTTTTACAAAAACGTCAAGCTAAAACGGTAGTGGACAAATCTCGATGAGTCGACGCATATGGTGTTAAGAAGAATTGGAAGGGAAGCATTCACTATGAGCTCTATCCGGTTTGACCCAAATCAGATGACCTTCTTCTAAATAAAACTTTCAATTTAATGCAAAAACTACCTAGACCTAGTTGATCAATATTTTTTGACTCATCTACAGAAAAGCGAACTAAAATCAGTCAGATTGTGGAGAGCTAATAAGTTCAAATTTGAAAAAAGATCGAAGTCTTTTCTCATTTATTATCAAACAAATCTTAAAATTAAAATCCTGGAGAAAGGGAATCCAAACCATCAGTAACCATTTGTTTGATCGAAAAGTACTAAGGGTCCATACCGAATATATTTAGACTAATATTTCTTCAACACTTATTATTATTTGAGAAGAAAATATATTGTTTAGACAGTCTCTGATGTTGATTTGCCAAATCACTCTGTATTCTTTGTAAGATTTTCTATTTCTAAATGTAATATGAATGTTTACTTCTCTCACACACTGTTTACTTACTATAAAAACTTTTAACCTTTAATTAAATGCAATTTTGCTCATCAAATGCCTAACTTAACTTACACAACAACCTACAAACTATTTTACGAAAACCAATATATATGTTTGAACAACAACAATAACAATCATAAAAACAACAGGAGCAGCGACAACAACCAGAGTAAAGCCAGTGGAAAATCGAGGGGAAATTAATGTGTCCACCGCTCTCACATCAATTGAGCCAGAGACGTCAAAGTATTCGTGGTCACGTTACCTGAATATATCTACACAGACGCCACCTTCGCGCCGCCATCAGCGACCTAGCATGCAAGTGGATAGCGCCGAAGATGGCGATGATGATGACGATGATGATGACGATGATGAGGATAATGACGTGGACGATAACAGTGATGGCAAGGATAATGAAAATGACAATTTGATTGAGTCCGATGAAGAGGGCGAGGCCACCACACATTTTGGTGGCAGTGCTTGTAGTGGTAGTGGTAGCGTTGGCGCAGATGTTTATAAACCACACGCCTCTACATCGGATGCTGCTAAAGCTCGTGATCGGCATGCTGATCGGGCAGCCAAGTTTTCATCAATTTGAAAATTTCTGCTAAACCGATTAGAGCTTAATTGTGAGTCATTCACTCAAAAACGAAAGCACACGATGAATGTCTAGATGTATTGAGTTTTAGGTTTAGAAATATTACATGTACAGGTAAGCTTCGTAGCTTTACAGTTAGAATATTCAATAAATGCAATTCGTGTACATCCCAGGTAGCTGCCAAATAGTTTTTATATGTATTAAAGTAAGGTACCACAAAATCGAATCACGCACATAACCGCACTCATACATACATACTTTTTATTCATAAAAATAGTAGCAAAATTTTGCTCGTTTCAAGAGTTTTTTTCATTCACCAGATATTACGTTTGGTTTAAGGATGAATTTAATCACATATTAGAACATTAACAATATAAATGCAAGTCGAGTAAAATTCTGTTTCTTGCAAACCACTACTGATCGAAAAATCTTGTTGAATAGTTCAAAACATCAGATGAGAGATTTATCTTACTATTCATTGTAATGATTTCCAGACATTTACTTAAGCCTCACATTGTCCATAGGCCGTACAACTTTCATAGAACAACTCTGTCTATATTATTAATTTTTCTTCAAGCAACAATAAAGTACAGAAATTTGCTGAGATGCTTCTATTTGACAAGTTCTTATCCTTAATCACTTTCCTTACTAGTACAGATACGTATGTATTGAGTCCGTACCATCGCTTCAATTAAAAGGCGCACCTAGTGTAACAGTCTAAAAAAGGCGATTTTTAGGAATTAAAAACTAACAACTTTAACAATTGTTTTAAAGGGGTAAATTCAAACATATTTTGAGAATACCAGTAAAAGTTTCTAAAGAAAAAGCATAATTTCAAATAAAGAATATTTTCCGAGATAGGCACGAACTTTGAAGGCAATAAAAAGGGTCCTCCACTGCTGCAATGATTCCGACTTTGTCCATGGATGAAACCTAAAAAAACTTTCTCTACTAGAATGTAATAATGTTCTACTTGTAAGTGATTAAATTCTTCTCAGTGTCGATACATTTAATGTCATAGAGTTGGAAAACATATATCAAGCACTATAAAGTCCACATGGGGACTATTTGATATTTCTCCCTTTTGTTCTTATGGGTAATTTTGAGCTGATGCATCCCGAGATCCCGTATACTCAATACGTAATAAAGAAAATTATGCCAGTTTTCATACAAAGCTCCTATTTGTGAAAACACTTTCTCGGTAAATTTCTAGTTTGATTTCATACAACTCTGAACATTCTCCCGAACGAGAGCTAACACTGCCATATAAAACAGTTTCCATGGTGTGATCGGTACAATCCGAATGCCGACGAGAGTCACACAACCCGCATACCCGCGCAATACCCCCTATAACAATATATCACCAACCACAGTCCTCAAACATCGTTACAATTGCAAGCAACTGATAACGCCACACACTTTGTAAATAATAGTTAATCATTACAATTAGCTGTAAATATAATCATCTTAGATTTTTTTCTAATTGAACGGACATTTAGCTCTTGAACACACGCTACCACAGCATAGTATATAAAACGGTACAAGTACAAGTGAAAGCGTGTGAGTTGGGCGTGGCATGTAATGGCGCCCAAATGCACTATTGTGCTTTGTAATTGTAATCTAAATGAAATAACTAGATAAAAATAATAGAGAGATAGAGTATATCCAAAAAAAATCAATATTGTAAAATATATATACAATTTTAGTGCGTAAGTGTCGTAGTTATGGTAAGACAAATTCTTGAGCATAAATAATTATAAATACTTGTAAAATGTATGTAGTTAAGAATTGAATAATCAAAAAATAAGTTATGCCCGAAAAAGGTTTACAGTTATTCAAGAAAAAGAATTAGAACAGCATTCACTTACATACATACACATTTACATATGTTCATCAAACGAAATTATCATAATTACGATTCAATAAAAAGTAAACTTATTAATAATAATTGTCATGTGTATATTGGAAACGATTTACTTTAAATAAATAAAATACTTGAAATTAATTAGGTAAGATAAAGAAAATTAAAAAATCAATGAAATAACTTAGCAAATTTGTACTATTGGAAAAGAACTGCCAAACAAATGAGTAAACAAACAAAGAAATTATTAAAAAAAAAAACTAAAAATAAGTTATAAAAAAAAATAAATACAAGTATATTAAAAAATTAGCCGAGTTGTAAAAAATTATAATTAAAATTAATAATAAAAAAAATCACAAAAAATGGAAATCAAAGCTTTTCAGCGTCATCGTTAGTATAACTAAGAGATATTCACTAAATGACTACAATTTGCATAAAAAAAAGAAAAAAAAATCACCAAAAGTAATGAGCCGAACAAAGCGCTAATGAAAAGTAATTAATTTGTGTAGTTTTAAAAAGCATATAAATAAATATTTACCAATAATTCCAATGACTTGTCTACAAACTACATAAATATATATGTAATACAATATATAGATAACTGTGTATGAATTAAAATAATAACGGTATCAAGCAGCAGTTGCTAATGTGAGTCAGGCGTATTTTGTCGTTTTGTTGTAATTGTATGTAACGTGTGTATGAAAGTTTGTAAAATTTTAAAAATTCGTAAACAATAAAAACCTAGTGCAGACAAATTAAAATTAATAAAAATTAAAAAAAACTAAAGAAAACAAAAAAAAAACTAAACTACAAAAGCAAGAAAATAAAAATTAAAATTAAATTAAAAATTTACGAAATTTTCAAAATAGGTAAATGAGTTTAGCAATTAATATTAAATTTAAAGCAAACAAACAAACAAACAAATAATGAACTACCAAACAAGGAATGCGAAAGCAAAACTAGTGGAAAATAATTAGTTTACAAAAACTCAAATGAAAACCTAATTACCTAGCACTTAAGTAGCAGTTTAAATTTAGGTGATACGTGAAATTTAAAAATATCGCTAAAATTCCAAAAAAAAACAAAAAACGCATTGAATTTTCAAGGATGACAGGTAGTAGGCAGGTAATGTGTTGAAAGCAAGCGGAGAGTGATTAGAAGAATGCTATTTTGTTTGTTCAAAAAAATATGTTAATAATTAAAAAGAAAGTATTTAATTTTTAAAATAAAATCTCGCATTTTAAAAAATTCATTCAAATTTTTCCAAAAAAAATTTTTAAATCATAATTTTTGTTAGAAAAATTCATATTGTTTTTTAAATTTCCATTATTTTTTTAAAACTCATATTATCTTCAAAATATCATATTTTTTTCACAAAATCATATATTTTTCAAAAATTCAAAATTTTTTTTTTAAAAAACTCGAAATTTTTTTTTTCAAAAATTCATAATATATTTTTTAAAAAGTTTATAACCTTTTTTAAATCGTAATTTTTTTTTCAAAATTTCCTATTATTTTTGTTTACAAATATATGTATACATACATAATTTTTTGTTGTTTAAATGCATAGTTTTTTTTTTAAATTTATAATTTTGTTTTTTAATTTCATAATGTTTATTTAATTCATATTTTTTTTCTAATAATTTATTTTAAAAATTATTTGATTAGAGATTTGTTAAAACTTTCACTATTTTGTTTGATTTTTCTAATATATAATTTAAATAAATTAAAAGTTGAATTTAAATAAAATTCAAGTAAAAAATTCCGAAATTATTAAGGAAATTACTGTAGATGTAATAGTTGTTTAAGAGGCATTGGACATTTTTATTATTATTTGCAGCATCATTATTATTATTATGGTTGTTCCTGTAAATTCCTTACATTACAATATAATATTGGGAAAAAGTGGCAAAATTACTTTAAAATTCCATATAAATTTCATAAACGTTTGCAAAATATTAAAAACACATTCAATTTTTTATATATATATTTTTTCTAAATAATTTTTTTATTTTCTTATATTAATATAATATAACATACAATAACCCATAATTTCAGTACGAACTGATACCGAATTTCCATTTTCTAATTTAACATAATTAAAAAATGTATAAGCAGTGAAGGTTTTGACTGAAAGTATTTAAATATTTGAATTTGTTAAAGTTTACACAATTGATATAAATTTTATGGCATTTGTTAATAGCTTTCTTTTCGAGAATATCGAAATTATTATAAGTATTTTTTATTAAAATATGTATATTAAAAATATTTAAATATTATATAAAGCATTACTTCGTGGAAATTTTCGCTTTATACTTTTTTCTTTGCTTATTTTTCGAAAAAACAAAAAAAAATATTTTTTCAGTCGAAGAAAGGAATTTTCAACTTAAAAAAATTAATTGGCACAATTAATTCAATACTAGCTAATATAAAACTTTGCTCTAAATGGCCAGTTTTCTTTTGTAAATATTTTTTATCTTTTTTATATTCTTTAATAAAACAAGATCATAGCCATAGTTAGGCAGCAAATAATGGATTGTAATAATGAAATGAAAATATGAAATTAATGAAAATACTTGAAAGTACAATCACCCAGAGAAGCTGAAAGATCATACAGTCAGCGCCAGCTTGTTGTAAACGAACAAAATTCACAGTTGAAAAAAGTACGCATTCCATATTTTGATAATTTTAGTATAGCAAGTATGACTAAGTATTAATTCGCTTCAGCATACAAATATATATTTAATAATGAATATTACAAATTTAAATTTAAAGAATTTTTCTATTTTAATTTTTGATTTATTAGTGTAAGTTATTTATTATAAAAATTTAAATTTGCATTGCAAAGCAGTACAGAGAGATTGTTGCTTGGATTTGTGAATGCAAACAAATTCCACAAAAAATTATGCATTGTAATTTCTATGAAATACAATGTAAGTCTTAGAAAAAAATATAAATAAAAAGTAAAAACTACTATTTGAAAATGTAAATGTACGACATTTAAGTAAATACTGAAAAAATTCAAAAAACCAGTCAAACGTGTAAACTGAATAAAAATAAAAATTTAATAAAAATAAATATTTAATAATTCATAAAATATGTTTGATTATTTCTCTTTTTAGTGGTGGGTGGAAATGCACGAAAAAATTCAGAAAAACAGTTTTGCTATTCTCGATAGGTGGCAACTCTTTCTATTTCAATTTTTGCAGTAAGAACTAACGACTTTCGGTGCTGCTTTATTAGATGCTTTATGATCGAATCCAATGTTGTAATTTCCCTTCATGTAATTTGATAGGTGGCAACTATGTTCCAAAAAATATATTGAACTGAAACCCACACCTTAAGACTTTTTAAAAGTTTTTTTTTTAATGCCTTAGATTTGGCTGCCTTTTCGTAACATTTTTTCAAGTTTCAATTTTGTCGATTGGTGGCAACTCTATTTTAAAATATAAAAAACATTATATTCACAAAAAAAAACAAGTTAAAGGCCTTTCAAATGCTATCCTGTAGGTTTTGTAAATACCTTATTGTGCTTTGAAATTATGTATCGTTTTAATTAGGTGGCAGCTCAATAGCTAAATATTACTAAATTAAAAGTATCAGGTATGCCTTTAGCTTATTCTTTTTCAGCACTTCAGATTCCTTCTTTTATTTTCATACTGTAATAATATGAAGTTAATTAGATATTTTAATAGTTAATTTTCATCTTTTTTTGCAGGTGGTAGCTCCAAATAAATAATTTTAACTGAGTGTACTTAAGAATTTCAATGTATTTTTAAAAACGTTGATTTCTTAGCGTTTTTTTTATATCGGTAAGATATATTGATATAAATATAATATTTATGTAATTTTCATCACCTGGCAACTCTAAATAAATATTATTTAACAGAGGTTTTCAAAAATATACATAGCATTAAAAAAAAAGATTGGCTCTTTTCATATTAGGTAGAAAAGCAAATCTTTAGAGTAAAAGATTAAGTTTGACTAATGGTTCGTAGTAAAAAATTCTTCTCTATATCCACATTCTTCATCTACTGCCTCAAAGCTTTCAATACTCTAAGCTTATCAGTACAAAACGAAATTAAATGAAATACAGTACATATTTACCCACAGATAAGCTGCCGCTCCCAGTGTATAAAGGTAAACAGAAGACTTAAGACACAAACACACTGCTTTCTGCGTCGACTTCGACGTTGCAACAACTGACTATGACGTCACGTAATTCCAGTGAGCTTTCTCAAAGCATATCACTTCCAACTGAAAGCGCGCAGCGTAACAAAAATATCTCAAAAGCTCTTTGAAAGCTTAGCTTAACCGTGGCCCAATTGAGCTCTACCACTGAAGTCGACCAACAGTTGCCGATCGTGTCTGAAGCTCGCCACAAGTGCTAGTGAACAGTTGCTTTCAACGAAAATTTGCCTTGTGTAAAAAGATAATATCAACAACTACAACAAGTATGCAATAGAAGTAATATATAATATAATGCTGGAAAAATATTCAATAAAAGTGCTATAAATAGATTTGTTGCAAATAATAGTGAAATGCAACATTTTGTGTCCAAAAATATAAAGAAAACATTTCGCAAAAGCATTTTTGCTAAAAATAGCTGCTCAAATTAACGCTAAGTGTGTAAAAAAACAGAAATTGTGCCGCTTTTTGCTGCTTACTTTTGGTGTTATTGTTGGTTTTTTTTTTTTGTTTTTTTGTAATTTTTTCTGTGTCTATTTTGGTCTATTCTTACTTGAAGAGTAAGTCGACGCTGTCTCGCAAGCTACTTGTTCGCTTCGCCTCGCCCGCTTCGTCTCAACGCACCGTCCGCACTACTTATTGCGCGCTGCAATTCATTACTCATAGTCGGCTTGCCGCACCAGCCCATTTGTCCATTGTTCACTTGTAGGGCACTTGCCATAAGCGCACCCCGCACTCACACAACGGCTCCACTGTGAACGCTGCAGCTCACTCGAGACTCTTTTGATGCCTGTTTTTTGCTTTTTCATATTATATTTTTTTTTGTTACTTTGTTTTCTATCTCAGCATACTTGAGCGGCAAGTACCGCAACGTCGTCGCCAGTCAACTCCGCTACATGCCACTTCATTTGGGCTGTAATTAACGTGCGCTCGCAGGTGCCGCTTTTATCTTGTCCACATTTGTTGCCTTTTCTTCGCTATTGTTTTCGTGTTTTTGTTGTTATATTTTGTTATATTTTTTGTGTTTTTCTTTCAAATTTTGTACCGTAACAATTTGTATTGTTTTTCTTTTGGATTTTTTTGCTTCCTCCTACTTTGCTGCATGCTTTATTTACCGCTTGTCTTTGATCCGTAGTTCTCACGTTTTATGGTTTTATTGAAATTCCATATTTTTGCCGATCATCGGTTTTAAGTTTGTTGCTTTTGATTTTTACACTAACAGAAACAATGGACCAGTCTATTTTGTGCATTTTTAGATCAAATTAAACCATTAAGATAAGTTATCGATTATCGAAATGTATTGTTCTATTCACCACATGTACGTATGTATGTGAGACATCGATGTAGCAAACAAAAGCAATTTTTTTTTTCAGTTTCTGCTTATTATATAATATTAAGCGTTCATTCACGTGTTTGTTGAATGACATATTAATTGCAGGTTAGAAATATTATATCAGAAAAGTGCTTATCATATTAGAAATTTTTTCGTAGACTTGTTAGAATCTTATAAGATATTATGATGAAAAACAATTATACCTTTATTTTAGGCATGACACCAAGCAATAACTTTTCAGATATTTTCGTAAGATCGAGAGATTATTTAATAAAAACTTTTACTCTTTGTGACTCAAATTTTGTTACAATATTACCAACTTTCGAAACATATTCTCTCGCATTATATGTGTATGTGTATTTTCTAATATTTTTTTCCTTAAAAAAAGCTCCAAACCTACATGTTTATAAAAAAAAATAATTGTGCATAATGTTTTATAGAAAATAACATATGTTGACTTAAAATATCAAATACTATTTTAAAATTTATATCAAATCGCCAAAAATATTACAAATATATAACTGCGATTTCTCGTATGAAAATTGAGCCACTGTTCGAAAAAAAATAATTTTAATAAAATAGAATTATCATTTATAGCATCTATGCTTGAATGTAGCAGTTTCCAGATATTTACAATGTAGTTCAAATCGAAAATGTTTCAAAAACTCCCAGTATGATATTTATTTTCACGCCTGACTCACCTAAAGCTTAAGGCT